TTCTTTTGTGTACAATCCACCCTCAAAAAATAAACAAACACCACCAACAAAACAAAAAGCCCCACCATTAACAAAACAGAGAAAATAGAAGCAAATATTGTTGAATGATGAAGCACGGTGGAGACTGTAATCATTGAAATGAAATGATGAGTGTAAAACTGATGGTCTCCCATGTAAGCTATCATTCAGTACACAATAAAACCTTAAAAAAAAAAAAGAATAAATTGCTATTGTTGTTCAGTGCTCTGAAGTTGGTTCTGATCTGAAGTTGTTTCTGACTCATAACGACCAGTATAAGGTTTCCTAGGACCAACTAGTGGATTTGAACCTTATGCTTAACAGTCTAATGCTTATTCTACAGTGACACACCAGGACTTTCTAATGGTAACAGGGCTAAGTTCAGAGAGGGGATAACCTCTTAATTTTTTCAAGTCCTTACACATACTATTTTGATTTTACAGGAAACTAGAAAAAATTATTAGCTACACTAAGCAATTCATATTTGAGTTACTCAAGTATTACTATGAAATTTACTGTAACTTTTCAAGGTTATGGAATCAGAATAAATTACTGCTAGTGTGGCATAAATTATTGCTGTAATCATTTCCTGTAATCACCTTAATGACATGAAGCAGCTTCATTAATAGCTGCTTTTCAGCTATTTTATTTTATCATACACTGAATATTCTTGCAGTTACAAATCGGGCTGCTAATCTCACAGTCAGCAGTTCGAAATTACCAGGTGTTCCATGGGAGAAAGATGAGGTTTTCTGCTCCAGTAAAGATTTATAGCCTCAGAAACCCTGTACAGGGTCGCTATGGGTCGGAACCGACTCGACGGCACATAACAACAACCACAACAACAAATTGGTTAAAGTACGGTACTTACTTGAGTTCTCTACTAAGAACCAAGTTAATTCTGTCTTTCAAAGGTCTATTCTTCTCAGGAATGGAGAACCAGGTCTTCCTACCCATAATCACCAAATTCTGTTTCCCTGTAAAATCAATAGAAAGAATAAACATTTTTTTTTGGAAAAATATATTCATCACATGTAGATACACACACAAGGGGGCTTTCAAACATTAAATCAAATTATCTTTCAATTTAATTTTTCCACGAACTTTTTGAGTATCCTGATGAGGTGCTCTAGGATAAGGCCTGGACTGCTAACCTCAAGGTCAGTGGTTCAAACCCACCAGTTGCTCCTCGGAAACCCTATAAAGGATTGCTCTGAGTCAGAATCGACTTGAAGGCACTTAACAACAACAACAACAATTGTTAGAGTGCCATCTAGTGGACCTATTTTAAAAAGCTAAAACTTAATTTAAAAAAGCTAAAATTGTTGTTAAGTCGGTTCTGAGTCACTGCGACCCTGTTTAGGGTTTCCAAGGCTTGAAATCTTTGCAGGAGCAGAAAGTGTCATCTTTCTCCTGAGCAGTGGGTGACGGTGTGAACTGCCGTGGACCTTGTGGTTCATAATCCAGTACTTATCACATGGAGCCACTATGCTCCCACAAGTTTAAATGCTGCTGTTGTTAAGTGCCATGAGTCAGTTCCATTTCATATACAGGGTTTCCAAGGAGTGGCTGGTAGGTTTGAATCACCAACTCTGTGACTATTACCTTAAATATTGTTACTTGTTGCCTACTCAAGTCCAACTCATGGCGGCCCATGTGGACGGAGTAAAGATGCTTCATAGGATTTTCAGGCTATGAGCCTTTGTAGGCAGACTGTCAAACTTGTTTTCTGAGGTATCTCTGGATGGATTTGAACTTCACAACTTTTTGGTTAATAGTCCAATGCTCAACAGCTTGTGCTACCCAGCAAGTCTCTTTCATATATATAGCTTCCAGCTTGGGTTTAATTTCTTAGGAGAAAAAGATCTTGAGAGTCAGGTACTTGGATCCAAGGAACAGAAACACTTCCTATGATTTTTGGTATGTACTAAGAGACCACCAAGAGCAATGTACAAGTATGCATCCCTAAAAATCATAAAATTAGTCAATTGTTGTGTTAAGTATTGTCGAGTTGGTTCCAACCCACAGCAACCCTGTATAGTTTCCGTGGAACATTTGGTGAGCTTGAACCACTGACCATGTGGTTCAAAGTGACTTTGCAATCCAGCGTATTCAACCACAGTGCCACACCAGGACTCCAATCAGTCAATTAGTTTTATCATATTTAAACAAAATATTTACAAACCTCAACTAGTAAGACTAAGCATTTTTCCATATTTTGCTTTACTATTCAAGGAGCTTTGGTAGCATGTTGTTGTTGTTGTTAAGTGCCGTTGAGTCGGGTCCGACCCATAGCGACCCTGTACAGGGTTTCCGAGGGTGTAAATCTTTATGGGAGTAGAAAGCCTCATCTTTCTCCCGCGGAGCAGCTGGTAGTTTCGAACCACTGACCTTAAGGTTCGCAGCCCGATTCGTAACCACTACGCTACCAGAGCTCCTTAGGTTACGAATTGGCCTGCTAACTCAGGGTCATCAGTTCGAAACTACCAGCTGTTCTGCAGGAGAAAGATGAGGCTTTCTGCTCCTGTAAAGATTTACAGCCTCGGAAACCCTGTACAGGGTAGCTATGAGTCGGAATCGACTCCATGGCACATAACAACAACATTTAGAACCAAGTTACTTCCGAACATAGGACCTTATACATGGTTGCTGAGTTAGATCCAACTCAATGGTAATCAACAACTCACCCACATACAGACACACACAAATATCTGTATGTTGTTGTTAACTATTGTTGAGTCGGTTCTGACTCAGTTACCCTCGTATAGGGTTTCCAAGGAATGGCTGGTGGGTTTTGAACTAGTGACCTTGTGGTTTGCAGTCCAGTGCTTATTAAGTATCACACCATAACTCCAAACATCCATATATACCTAAATTATATATGGGGTGCGGGAGAGAGAAGGGGAGAAATGGCTTTTGGTACTCTTCCATTCATCTAACAATAATGTATCTATTGAAAACCAGGTAAACAAGTGAGGAATTGGATGCTTTACCAGACCAAATTGAGTATTCTTTCCATTCAGTGACTTACTTAAGGCTCAAATCAATGGGGGCCTTGTCTGTGTCCTGTGAAAAGTCTGTGTAGCAGCTACTCCTTTCTGAGGTACTGTTTGCCTGACTTGTGTCCCTGTTTACAGAGATATCTCTCAAGTTTTAAACGGGGCATCCTTTTATTCCCATAGTCTGTTTTTTTAAAAATTTTTACAAAAGGCTTTTATTGTGAATTGAGTAATAGTTTGTTGTTGTTGTTGTTAAGTGCCGTCGAGTTGGTTCCGACCCATAGCGACCCTGTACAGGTTTACAAGGCAAATAATCAGTTTTACACTTAACCAATCTTATTTTGTTTCACTGCCTTGATTGCACGCACCATCGGTTAGCACAGTTGTTGTTGTTGTTAAGTGCCGTTGAGTAGATTCCGACCCATAGCGACCCTGTATAGGGTTTCCAAGGAGTAGCTGGTGAGCTTGAACCACCGACCTTCCTGTTCAAACGACTTTGCAGTCTGACGCATTAGCCTACAGTATTTACCTTTATTATCTCTTTTTGTTTTTTGATGTACACAAAACACACCAAAAGTATTTATTTAAACGACCAAAGGGCACATTTTGCAAGCTAGCCTCCTGCCTGCAGGCACAAAGACTTTCTCATTCCATGGGTCTAGGGTGCTCAGCTGCTCTGTTTCATCCCCATATTCTTCCTTGAGTTGTCCTCTTGTCTTGTCTCCAGCTCCCTCCCTGTGTCTGACATTATCCTGGATGTGCTATAGGCACCTCCTAACTGTCTTCACCACAGCTGCGCGCTTCTTTCCATTCCTTTATTATCTTGTCACTCAGACTCTTACACTGAAAACGTAGGAGTTCATCTTTGATGCTATTCTGCATCAACTTTAGCTTCTGGATCATGGAGCAACATCTAACAGAGTCTTGGATTTCTGTCCTCACTCTCGACTGCCCTTCTTCAGTCCTTATCATCTTTCAGGATTATTCCAAACACTTCCTCTGGTTTCCTTTCCACCCTTACATCTCTGGCTAGATAAGCCTCTACTGAGCTGCTCATTTTGGCCAATATCTTTATTTCATAAGCGAACCCACATATACTTTTAAAGAAAAAAGTGAAATTTGAAATATCCTTGGGAACTGTACATACTCCAATAGTAAAGGAAAAGGTCCCAAATTAACACGTTAATTTATATAGGAAAGGTTGCTATATAAATAAAATTTAAACTGTTAACTTAAGTGAGAAATTTGCTACCAGAATCAATTAAAACCACCCATGTTACCTTCTACTGAAGAGGTCGTGGTCATTCTTTGGAAATATTTGAATTCATTCCTACAAGTCAGAGAAATACAGCATTACTGGGAGCAGTACGCGCAGGATAATGCTGGCCTGAACTTTGCTCTGGGCCTGGGCTCCGCCTGGAAGCTGCGGCGCAGCACAATTGGGACGGAAACCAAAAACTCAACAATTTAGCCTATCCGATTGGTGGTGTGGAAGGAATCACGGGCCCACCTATCGGTTCAGGGTAAAAGTCAGACCCTCTCTTTCCCATCCTCCACTGGTGAGGCGGCCCGTCAGTGCCCCACCCAATGCCCAGATCACTGGTAGCCTACACCAACCAGTCTGTTTCCCGGCCTGGCAGGTACCTGAGCGGGGGCCAGGGGAGGTCTCCGTTCTTGCCGATACCCATGTTCTGGGACACAGCGACGATGCAGTTTATCGGACGAACCATGACAGTAAGAGTGAACGCTTCAGCACACTCGCTTGACCGCCGGATTACCACGGAAGTTTGGCGCGAAACTGTGGCCACTCCGCCCCATTAGTCCTATTAGTGCAGACTAGAGACTCCGCCCGCTGCCCCGCCTCCCGCTCCGCCGCACACTTGGGTCGCGACGTGCTCGCGTCCGCGAAAACCTGGGAACTGTGGCCGCGGGCTCGCGCTCCCCGGCTTAGTCTTGTCTTCTGGCTGCCATTCCTTTCCTACGATGTCGCGCCGGAAGCCTGCCTCTGATGGCGCTCGTGCCTCCGACTCGGCCCCAGCAAGGCAGGCGGTTTTGAGCAGATTTTTCCGATCTGCGGGAAGCCTGAAGTCCTCTTCTTCCCCCAAGGTTGCGGCAGAGAACGCAGACCCTGACTCCACAGCGCCCCCAGCGCTCACTTACCTACCCGGGTTGCCGTCTCACGTGGTGGGTTCAGTCGGGATTGGGTGGGGCCTGAGGGGCGGGGCGTGGCGGAAGAAGGCGATGACCTACGAGCGAATCTGGGAGATGATGGGACCAGAGGAGAAGGGGGCAGAGCTGGGGAAGGAGAAGGTGGGAAACCAGTCTGGCCCCTGCCTAGGTGTGGTTAGTTCAGAGTTTTTAGTTACCACTTGTCTTCCTAAGAACTGAAGGGTGGTGCTTGGCTGTTAACCGAGAGATAAAGAGTACAGCCTTGAAAACACTACGGGACAGTTCTGCCCTACATGAGTCGAAATTGTAAGACAGGGGTTTAATAGAGTTGACTCCAAGGTCACCCAGGTTCTTAATGGAGAAGCTGCAGAAGGAACTCAGGGCTCCTGACTCCCATTTTGGTGAAAGTAGGGAACCTGTGGACAAGGGAGACATCGTTAAATCTCTTTCCACCCCCCTTTTTTTCTAAAAAAAAAATATGAATTGAGGATTGATGAACTTTATTTATATTGTTGTTGTTGTTGAGTGCCGTCAAGTCGATTCCGAAGCATAATGACTCTTGTATAGGGTTTCCAAGGAGAAGCTGGTGAGCCTGAACCGCCAACCTTGCTATTCAGACGACTTTGCTGTCTGGTGCATTAACCCACAGCGCCACACCAGGACTCCTTATTTATATTAGAGTATTTGTATGTGTTTGACTATGAGACTAGAAGAAACTTAAGTTTCTAGTTTTTTTTTTTTTTTTTTAATACTGTTGAAAATATACATGTGTGGCATTGGTTACATTCTGTAAGTTCCACCTTTCTTGACAATTTTTTTGAAACTTCTGTGAGATGGAATGAGCCGGAACACAAACACCCACGTGTAAGGCTTTACTGAGGGTCAGGAGGAAAGAGAGCAAGAGAGAGTGTGTATTGTTGGAGAGGGATTTTTATACTGGTTAAAGAGGGCGGGGTTGAGAGTAGTGGAGGTAGGTGATAGGTTGACTAGGGATGCCATGCAGGTAGAGAGAGGAAGTTCCAATAGGTAGGAAAAGAGGTTCCGGGAAGAAGAGCTAAAGCGTGGCAAGCAGCCATTGTATTATGCACGTGGATGAGAGATTCTGTCATTACAGCGTTTTGTTGTTATGGGTACAGGGGTGGAGGTCATCTCTTCTGGAGCTGCTTCCTGCTGGAAGCGGGTGAAGAGGAGGAAACTGTGTATCTGGCATGTTCTTCTGGCTGGCTGGTCCTGTTGCTTGGCAGTGGTTGGCATCTGGCCATGAGGAATTCACCTACCATCTGGTTTGTGAAGGCCCTCAGGCATTCCTGAAGAAAATTTTGAAGACAGTGAAACAGGGAGGGCCAAACGACGTTATCAGGAGGATTATAGTTAATGGCCCTAGGAAAGGGAGGAGCCAAGGTCACCAGGAGGACATTAGAGTCCAACCATAGTTGGCTGTTTCTGATTGCCTAGTGCAAATTCTGTCTTTTAATTCTTTTACCTTGCTGAGGACTATGTCAGATCCATTGACAAAATAACAGCATTCCTCACCTAGATAGGGTCTGGCATATTCCTCCTTTCTCAGCTGTGAGATCTAAACCGCGTCGGTTTTGGAGTACTTCTTCAGCTAGTGAGTTAACTTGATTTTGTAAGGCAAGGAGGGTGTCTGCTACCCTCTCCATGTCCCTGTTCAAGGCCTCTGATCATTTTTGTAATAGATGTTACTAATCAGATGGAGTTAATATTCAGGCCCTAGGGATGAAATATGTTACCCACACAGGTGTTGTGCGTGTAGGCATTTAAAATTTTTTTCCATGTAAGAAAAATATTCCTTTTGGCCCACATGTTGGGTTGCTCACCTTTGTTATGTCAGTGCACCTGGAAGAGAGAGGGAGGAAAGATTAGTGATGTTGTTGTAGTTATGCAGGTGAGGTTGGTGGAATTACTGAGGCCAGTGTCCATGAGGAGAGGTCCTGTGTAGTGTATGGTGATTGTATTAGGATATGATTTAGGGACTGGGTTGGTGGGAATGGCTGAGTACCCCAGGTCCCTACAGGGCAGAGAGTTTGGACAGGTACCATACTCTGATTCCACAAAACTGCTTGATGACAGGTGTTTGTCCCAGATAGCAAGCAGAGTGCATAAAGGTCAAGACACTGGAACAATCTGTGGCTGTATGAGGGGTTGAGCATGTTTTGCCATTTTGGCTAAGGCATAATCTGGTCATCAAGGTTGAGATAAAGAGTATAGAGAACATACTGGGATGATGACAAGTCCCAATATAAGAAGAGTAAGGCGAAGAGTATTCGAGAATGGCGAGGCCACGTGGGGGCTGAGACAGAGAAGAAGCCTACTGCAAGGACGATATAGTGCCCTGAAGCGGGCGAGGAAGGACGTATGGCAAGTTGACATGGAGGTATGTCTAAGGGAGTATGTGGAGATAGGGGCTAGCGAGGAGAGGAGAAAGACTTGTCAGCAGAGAGCTTTCGTCTGGTGAGAGGTCAGAGAGAGTGCCCTGTTGTTCTGTTGGGTGGGGTTTGGGTAAAAATTGGTCTGCGTGGGTTAGCAACAAATGATGGACCATACTTAGGGTCGGGATACAGTCAACAAGTGGGGATGAGGTGGTTGGGAGGTATCCATGAGGATGCGTGTGGCCTGTGACCTGGGGAGAATGTACAGTCCCTTGAGAAGAAGCCAGTCCCCAGAGAGTATGGCTCCCTGTTTGAGCCATTCCTGTGTTTCAAGGAGGTTATAGAGGGATGTTATAGGGAGAGCAGCAAGCATTTGTGTGGATGGAGGTGGGAGCATGGCCGTTCGTTTTGCTTTGCGGTCGGCCTTGTTGTTTCCCTGTGAGATGGGGTCATCGGTGGATTGATGACTCCTATAGTGTAGGACTTATGCTTGTGTTGGGAGTTTTGCTGCTTGAAGTAGTTGTAAGACTAGGAGACTGTTGTTTATAGGGGAGCCTTTTGGGAAGTTGTGTTAAAGGGAAGAGACACGGCTTCAGTTACCCTATCTGAGGATACAGTGGCATAGCCGGCCTGGCATTGGCCTGTAGGTGAAGTGGTGGAACTGCCATCAATGAACCATATATGATCCGGGTGGGACAGTGGGGTGGAGATGTGGGGTAGAGGAGGGAGATGATGTAGAGCTTCAGTACCTGAGAGAGATGCCTTGTGGTTATAGGGAGGAGGGAGGCAGGGTTGAGAAGGGGGGCAAGATTCTAATTTAAAATTGGGATTTTCAATGAAAGTTATGTGAGATGGAATGAGCCGGAACACAAACACCCACGTGTAAGGCTTTATTGAGGGTCAGGAGGAAGGAGAGCAAGAGAGATCGCGTGTTGCTGGAGAGGGATTTTTATACTGGTTAAAGAGGGCGGGGTTGAGAGTAGTGGCGGTAGGTGGTAGGTTGAGTAGGGATGCCATGCACGTAGAGAGAGGAAGTTCCAGTCGGTAGGAAGAGAGGTTCCGGGAAGGAGAGCTAAAGCGTGGCAAGCAGCCATTTTATTATGCACGTGGATGAGAGATTCTATCAACATCCCTGTCCCTTTGTTTCTCATCTATTCTTTTAAGTTGCTGTTGTCAACTTGACCACATATTGATAATATTTTAAGGGTATAATGTGTAATGTAGGCACTCGTTTCTAATTAGGCTACACTCTTACTTGGTTCAGATATGATTTCAGGAATTATTTTGTTCAAAATTTAAAGATTTCTTTAGGGCAAAATTTTTGGGGCCAGCTGGCTTTAGTGACACCAGAAAGCGTCTAGTGTTAGAAGCTGCAATGTCATTGTTGTTATTATGTGCCGTGGAGTCAGTTCTGACTCATATCGACCCTGTACAGGGTTT